AAAACATCTGGAGGTACATAACTTTCCCATCTCTCATTTAAAGGAACTATATAAAAGATGCTGCTGTTCCACATTCTCCAAATGATTGGTAAAGGAAAAAAATTGACATAACTGAGTAGCCAAGGAGGAAGAAACTTAGGCTTCAAACAGAGTTGAACAAACCATTAATTTTGCAGCAGAACAGAAGGAGAGGAAGGGCTGACTGAGATCACTGAAATGTTTTCCCCAGAAAATAAAAGGTTCCATAAAAAAGATTTAATTAAAATGGCACAGTTGAAAACAAACACTATAAATATGTGCCAGAATGCCTCACAAAAGCAATGGATTGCCTAACAATGAAAAAATAACGATAGAATTTCTGATATGATTACAGTACCTACTGAGTGGAAGGGAAATGATATTGTGGAGCCTAAAGCTAAAAGGAGGAAATTAAATTTTTTTACATTGCACATGGAAGCTATTTAGGTCTGCAAAAAAGTAGCATATATAACAATCTCAATCAAAAAGCAGGGGGTGGAAGGAAGCAGGTAAGGGAGCTGAGAAAAAAAACAAGGTTCAAGAGGTCCAGGAAGACAAAATATTGAGAGTGTGTTTAGCAAATGGAAACCTGGTGTACATGCAGACAGCCAAAATGTGAACTGCCATAGGTAAAACATTAATATAGGAGAGTAAATAGCCAAAACATATGCAATAAATACACAGCATATTTTAATTCAGTATCATTTCTATAAGCCTGCATAGCAAGTTCCACCTAGGCAAATAGCACTTCCCTAGCCACATAGCCCAGTGTTGTCAGATACAAACAAGGAGCCCAACAGAATCTCCCTGCAAATGGTAATTTACTTCTCTCATGTTGGGGTGGAGAATACCAACATTGGCCTTTTCCTCCTAGGGAAGTGGTGCCTCCCTCCTCTTTTACAGAGGGCAGTTAGTCCTCTTTCTGAAGAGCTGCCAGAGGACAGGCCTCTATTTTGAAGGCATCCTCAATTGGAAGGGCTGTCCAGTCCAAATCTCAGGTAAAGAAACATCAAAAAGGAGAAGAGGGGCAATTGGATAGCCAATAGAACAAGACAAACAGATTAGTCTTCCACACTATGACAAGACATATTTCTATGTAAATCATATAAATTATATCTCAAATTGCATCTAATGTATAAACTGGCATGTGCAAATATGTGTCCTCTTCTTTGGTAAGTCATAAAAGGCCACCCTACCTCCTGCATCCTTTTTTCTTACAGCAGCACCAGAAACCACTTCACCCCTGATTGTAGGATCCCTCATTTTCCTCTCTCTCCTAGTTCAGCCTTTACATTCTTGCCAAACAAACATCTGCATCCCACACATCTTTCTTTTCCATCCTCAGGCATACTAGGGCTCTAAAACTTATTTTTGCTGGTCCATCATGATGGGTTGAGTTCATAGAGGTGCCATATGATCCCAATAGGCCAATCCTGTAGGATTATTTCCAACCCATATGTGGCAGGGCTAGAATGTCTTTCTTTTATGCCAGTATATATACAACAAGTTTATAGAAGAAGTTCATGAGCACTGTCCAGTGATCCTGGGAGTTCTTGACTCCCATTAGATGATCCCTCCATCTAGGTTCATATATCCAGAGACTTCCAGCTAAACAGGGACTTTTGACTTGAAAAGGAGTGAAGACAACTGTCCCTTTTGAAGAAGAGGCAGGTTATTGAGGTAACATGAGGTAGCCTTTTTCAGTTCTTACTTATATAAGAATTCTTGTATGTCTGGCAGCACTATTATGGCCTGCTAGGTGATTTGGTGGCAGCCCACCGCATTTTTCAATCCAAGGCAAGCAATAAAGCCAAGAGGTTTATCAAGCTCTAGGTCACTTTTATACAAAGCTGAGGTTTGAATTCTGTTTGATGGGGCACAGGTTGTAGAAGTTGGATCCAGGTTATGCCTCAAGCTGTGGGCACGTATTCTCTGCTTCTCACATATATTTAATGTACACAGGAGGAGTAGAACTGCATCCACTGGCCCTTCCCTTTGCACATTCAATGTTAGTATGAAATGTTGGTATGTGAGTACATTTGTATACACACAGGATTCTTCAACACAGCTAGGAACCATGATTATTCCAACAGGGCCTGGTGTCAGAGGTTTCTACCCCATCCTGATGCCTCCACCCCAGCAAGATTACTAGTAGCAGAGGGGTAGCTGATGCCACCATGGGCAGCATGGGGTGATATCAGCACCAAATAACTCATTGCACTGGGAAAGCACTGTGCAGTTCTGGCCCTGGCAGAACTCAGTTTCTTTTAGTGTGCTGGCAAAAGATCAGCAGATGCCACTACCATCTTAATTTCATGAGAATGCCTCAGGACCCTAATTTAGTTCCTTCATTCTGAGGAAATGAAGATGGCAATTTTTTAAAAATTAGCACTGAACCCTAACATGTCAAAAATATGTGTGGCAAAAATTAAAAATCAAAGGGATGGTATCTGCCACCGTGGGTCATTGCCAGTCCTAGATCCCAATCACATCAAGCCCTATGTGCATGCTTTATATGACTATCTGCCATGATGGCATCACCGGGACCACTGCTGATATTTGTTAATCTGTAAAAGGTAGTACTGGCCTTAGGGGTGGGGAAGTTGGGCAAGCACCATATTAGCCAAGCTGCTGGGAGCACCAAGCTGTGACTGGTGATGTCCATGCTGTTTGCAGTTCTCCAGAACAAAGAAAATAGCACCTATGCACTGTGTGGGGTGCCATAAGATGTTTTGGATCCTTTCCTCCAACTGTGGCTCTTCCAAGTCCCTGGGATCCCCAAGCCTTACCAGAGAGCTGTATCAGATTGCATGTTAAAGTTTCCAGTGGTACCAAAGTGAGACATTTTCTGAGGATGCTCCCAGAGCTCTTCATAAGCTCTAACTATATTGGGTGCTTTGTTTTTAGTTCACCAATACTCCACTGACAATTGTTATTCTGCAATTTTTTAATCTGGTCTGATATGAATGGCCTGTCCTTAAGAGTGCTCTTCCTATCTGCCAAGGCAAAATCTTCTTTTAACAGCCTGAGCTATGTACCCCCACATAAGTTATTCACCAAGACCTTGGTCTCTTTCACAGAAAAGCTTTTTCTGCTTCGATGCTTTCTCCTTCAGCTAAAGTAGGTCTCAGACAATGTTATAAACAACTTCTCTTTTATGTCTGCGTCTACAACCTTTCCACTAGAGAATCATATGCTGCAGATTGTAGTGCCATTGGACCAGCACATACTTGAAAATCAGCAGTCTGTAACCCTATTATCTAACTCTGGTCCTGCAGAATTCAGTTTCTTTCATCTAGTCTCCGCAGTCTTTTGAGCCTCATTAGCTCTTGCCATCTTCATTTTCTACAGTAGTTCCAGTTTTAAAGTTTGCTGAAGGGACACTTTTCACATTGATCTGCAGGAGAGCCGTATCACATTGCATTGTCTATCAAATGTATGTCTTCCTGGATTACATCTCCTCTATTTGGGATTTGAAACCAACCCATGAACTATGGTAGAATGTGTGCATAGGGCAGCCAAAAGCACTTGGTTGCAGCACTGAAAGGAGACATCGTTGCCTTCCATAGAACACTGGGTTAACAATTTACACCTCCTGCCTTTATTTGCACTGGCAATGTATTGCCATGTGCACAAATCAGATGAATGCTGGAACATTTGGCTGGTTTTTCCCTATAATTTTGCATTATGGCAGCACTCCAATATATTTATATTTCCATTGTATACAGGCAAAACAAGTTAACCCAGTATTCCCTGACCTGGTGGGTGACTTTGGGCCAGTCAGGCTCTCAGCCCAACAAACCTCACAGGGTTCCGTTGTGAGAATAAGAGAGTGAGGAGGAGAATTATGTAAAGCACCTTGAGTTCCTTGAAAGGAAGGAGGGATATAAAAATAGTAAATAAATAAGAGTACCTTAACCTATTTCCTCCATCCCATTTTAAACTCGTCCCTTTTATTTTGTATGGTTTTTAATTAAAAAGGGTAAAAAAATCTTGAGCTAAAAAAGAAACGCACAACACCGGATCACAGAATTTACACTCCACACAGAAGTTGGTAACAACCGGGTTTTTTAACTCTTCTCGCTCTGAGTTTTTTCTTCCTTCGCCAAGGGAGGAGAGGGACGAGATTCTCCATCGTGTTATGCGTAAGGGGACAGCGCACAGTTCATTTCTTGTGCCTGAACAAAGCACATTTTCCCTATTATTATGCAACTCAATGATAGCACATCATCGGGGTTTTATAGCGTATCGTTACAACCAAGTCAGAAACTTCTGCAATTACTTATCACCCAGTTTGATCGCATCAGGCAGTAAAAGGACATCTACAACTACTTGCATCAACCGAGCCGTCGAGGAGCCTGAAGGACCCTTTGGCATAATTGACAATGCTCGGAACTTATCCACTGTTCTTCGCCCTTGGTAGCTCGTCCTATGGTAAAAGAGGAGGCGGGTCTTCCGGCTTTGGTTGCTAAGACAAGCACGTTTCTCTCCTTAACAACCACAGGGAGGCTGGTGTTGGGGGCTCGGGGTCGAGGTGGCGCAGGTGAGAGAGAGCGGCAGTGCATTTTGGGCTCCCCGCGTGTTCGGGGCCCCATCTTTTTTCCCCTTTTCAGAGCTGAGCCCTGGATGCTCTCGCCGTCTAGAGATCCACTGGCGCAGCCCATCTCCCTATCCCCAACGAGGGGCTTGCCTTACTCTTGCCCTTGGGGATCCCGCTCCGCTCTGCTTGTCGGGTGTGCTCCCGCCTCTCAGCTGTTAATGGAGTATCTCCCCCTTTCCTTGGGTGACTGAAAGGAACCGTCCCACGTTCGGGCCAACTATGTTGTCACAAGGGAAATCGATGCAGTAAATTGGGGCATAGTAAAGGCAACTGATTATTTCAGCTTATTGTTTTTCAACAGCATATGGGAGGGGATCTGGACTGTTTGGCTGAGATACCCAAATTCTTCTGTTCAGTTCTGAATTTTAAAATAATCTGAGATACTTAAGATAAAAATCATTATCATTATTTAGGATAACATCCTGTGTTATCAGGCTTGAAGTGTACTCTAAACAAGGTGATGACTTTGAGTGTGTACAGAATGTGTGTCCTCACCAAGTGGGCAGCCACAGCCAGCAATCACATATTTGGGATTAGGGGAAGGGCTTTTAAGTTAGAAGATGTACATTTTTAGAAATGAAACGCTGGACACTACTGCTTCCTTTTTCTGGTGAGTGGGCTCCTTCTACTCCTAGCTAAACAGGATTCCCTAAAAGGATTTTCCCTACATTTGCGGATAACAATTCAAGATTAAGAATGTGCTATCAGATCTTTAAAATCATTACAAAGTTTGATGTTGCTTCACTGGGGCTATGGATAGATTCAGGTAATAACTTGAAAACTTGCTAAAAGATATGATTGCAGGATAGGGAGATGGCTTCCAACAAAGAGTTCAATCCAACCTTTAAATGTATGTACTTTCCCAGATTTCCAAGTAGCTGTGTGGTTGGAGGTTAAGCACAGCTGCTAATCTGTATGGATTTACTGCAACACCACATGGTTCCTTTGTGATTTCCAGTTGTCTAATTTGAAATCTGGATATTGCACATGAATAATGACATGCCCTCTTCCCAGGGGTGGTCAGGCATCAATCATGCTGATGTAAATTGTATGCTGATTTATCTTTCCTTGTGAGAAACTGTAATGGTGTTTCAGTCCTAGGTAACTACTTTCATTTGGCTTTGTTCAGATACCACACATTTTTCCTGTCATATCTGCTGTCTGTGGGATCCCAAGAAATGTGCTACAATGGTCAGTAGTTAACTTATTTTGGAGCCTGCCTGTTCATGTGACCAGCTGCCTCAGAATGTCTCAAGCCTATTGTGAGACTTGGATTAATAAAAGTTTCAGACGAAACTTCACTGCAAGGAAATAAGCATGGTATAAGGATGGAGGGTTATCTTGCAGGCAAGGTGAACTTTTTCATATAAAACTCAAGAGAGTGAATTATATAAATTGGTAGTATGAAATATTTGAAAGGGATGTACTCTACTGATACCAGTTTTTACATGTTACATGCCATGAACGCCTCAGTTCATGACCAAATCGGGTCGCGAACACAAATTTCATAAAAATTTTGCCGCAGGTCACGAACTCTGCATTGGGTGATGATCGGGAGTATGCCTGCCTTCCCTGCATGTGCTGGGGTGTGGGGGGAGATGGCCGCGATTGCACCTGACTGCCCTGCCTGAGCGTGCCTGCCTCCCCAGCGCACCCATGATCTCCCCCATCTCCCCCCACCTCCTCCCCACATGATTGCTTGGGGGGGAGATGGCTGCAGTCTTTGTTGTTCTTTGTTACTTCGCTTCAAATTTTTTGAGTAAAATAAATAGTTGCAGAACGGATTAACCTTATTTACATTGACCCTTATGGGGAAATTTGACTTTGCTCATGACCAATTTGGGTCACGACCAGAGTCCTGGAACGGATTAAGTTTCAGAAATTATATCATTATCCAGTCATATGTCACATTTGACCATTTCTAAATTTTGGCACTCAAGAAATGAAACGAATGATGAATAAAAACCAAAGCCACAAGATTTCTCTCAGATGCTATAAAATAGCATGGTGGGAGACTTGTCCAGTTGTCCCATAACTTAAAGGCTCGCAATTCCCATTTGCAACTATACATTTTTGTGATTGCATTGGCTACTCCACCTTTTCTTTCATTATGGAAGAAGAAGTTAAAAACACAGGAAAACCACAAATGAAAAATGATAATACTTGGACCCTCCTCCCACTCGAAAAAAGAAAAAGAAAAAGTAATTGGATGATAAAAGCCCCAACAGGCAGTCCTCCTTTCTGCAGCATCTTTGCAAAGCATTGCAAGAAGACCTGAAGTGTCATTTTAGGTAGGTAAGCCAGAAAAATTATCTGAAGAACATGCAGAGTCCTCTTAACTACATCACAGTATAGAGTGATGTTGAAGTAGGGGAACTAGAGCAATAGAGCTCATGAAAATTTAGAAGGCAAACTTAAACTGTGCACAAACTTTTCTGAAGTGTAGACAAATGTTTCTACTCATTCACTGCCCATCATGCACATACAATGGTATCAAAATTGCTAGATGAAGAAAAGGACTCACATAAATATCCAGACAATAATAGATAAACACTATTCTTGTTTTTCACTCTGGAAGATCAGTGCAATCTTATTTCTAAGAATATAGACCCATTTAAAAATTAAAGCTTAATACTATCTCATATTACAGCTTATACATATCTACCTCTCTTTTGTTCTTGCAGTCTAGTGAAAATTTAGAGATGATATAGCTGAAGGTATTGCCAGGTAGAAACCACACCCTTGGTGTGCTCAATGTTCTCTTAAACCCCTACATCAAATTCATTCTTTAGAATATTACATAGTATTGTTATTCTCATTTCACTTATTAGACATTCACTGTGCATATTCCATATTATGTAGGTCTGCATATGCAGTCACTTGACTGCTTAGGTAATATATGAAGCTAACTTACACTGACTCAAACCATTGGACTCTTTAGCCAATTGCTTGCTCTGTCTGAGTTGCGGCAACTGTCGCAAATTTTAGGCAGAGGTCTTTCCTGTCACCTTTTATCTGATCTTGTTTACTGGAGGTGCCAGGGAGTGAACCAGAGACCCTCTGCATGAAAAGCATGTGCTTTGCTGCTGTTTCTGTCCATTTGTCATAAGTTGTGCACACTAAGATATATGAAGGATTTATTGTTGTTGTTCTGTGGATTTGTCATTCTGGGAACTGTAGTCCAGTTTCTTGTTATAAAAAGCTACACACATTAAGTGTTATATGTTGTTATAATATTTGTAACATCTAAACATTAAACATCTAAGTGTTTGTAGTCACTTCAGATTGTTCTCATCTGCCCCCTGCATCCCACTGTTTTTTTGTCCCTTTAATCAGCCAGGTATATTTGTATATGAGTAAAACATAGTCCAAATGTGCAGCAATTTTAGGCAGCTTGCAAGGGTCACTTCTTTAGAACTGTGCAAGAGCTAACTAGATGCTCCAATCAAGCAATTGCTGCAAAGAAAAATTGCTTTCAGCTTTGTGGTTATATTATTTGTCCTAACAGTTATCCTGAGTTCCCCTCACTAATATAGATTTATTTTCCAAGAAGTGTATCAACAAGCACTCAACACATATGCACTTTAAAAATATGACTGCAAAATTAGATGTCCTTTGAGGATAAAAATGAACACAGAAATGGTTTGTTATAAAAAAGAAGCAGATAAAATAGTATAAAATAATGCAGAATTAAACAGATGCCTTCCTTTAGTGTTTGGCTTGAGTAGCAGTACTAAACGGGGCTCAAGACTTGCATGTTTAAAACTCCTTTGTTTTAGGCTGTTTTTAAGCTGTTTTTAACGTGTTGAGCTCCTTGATCCCTCAGCATAGAGCAGTTCCAGCTAAGTCTTGTTTCCTCAGTAAAGCATTGTACAGAAGGAAAAACAGGAACAGGGAGTAAATTGCTTGAGAAAACTCAAATTTTTTTCTTTAATGAGGAGAAATTTTGATTGTCCATCCACCTTTATGAAGTGAACCAAACAGTATCTTACAAGGAAGAAAGACTAGCAAAAGACAGTGCTTCAGCAAAGCCAACTATGGAAGTTTATTCTAACTGGAGGTCCCCATTCCTAAAGTTAACGAATCTCTCATTTGAATTAAACAGTCTTGATGTCAAGCTTTTAAGATTGCCTAAGGAGAATATTTGAAGTTACACTTCTAGTGTATTTATGAGTACATAAAGTCAATTCAATGCCTGTTAATAAGGCAGGGTGAAGATCAGGGAGAGTCTGACATTGCAGAAAATATGGACAAGTCTTGGCTCCCAAAATGTAGTTTGACCAAATGGTAGTTACTAAGTCAAGCAAACCAGGATAATCACGATCACTACAGTCCATTCATTCATTATTGTTACCCTTTACAGCTTGTGTGTTATACTACCATTAAGAGACAATTAAATAAAGGCTGTGATAATATGACAACCATGTAAGTAAATTCTTTGTTTTTATTATTTTATGGGTATCAGCTGTATGACAACACTTTGTTCTGAAGAGGGTGTTAACTGAATTATTTCTTCCCAACCTTTTTTTCCCTTTAAATATCAGAATATCCAATTTCTGCAAAAACTGTTTGACCGGAATTCTAAAAAGTTCTAGCCTACAAGTGATTGGTTCCCTTCAGGCTACTCTGCCCTAGAGGTCACAGTGGACAGACAATGGCAGACACAGGGGAGGGGAAAAAAGAGGAGGCAGACTATAAGAGGCTTCACAGCTTTCCACTGATAAGGGTAAGAATAGGAACAAAGAGGTATGATCTATTCTTGAATATTGGAGTTCAATGTCATTGTGTTCCATTTTAATCCAGATAAGAGAAATGGGGGTAGGGAGAGAACAAGCTACCATAGTGACTAAGGAGTTTATCAGTGCATTTGAAAATATGAATACCTACGGCACACACAGCTGTCTTGTTCAAAATGGAAGCTCCAGTCTGTTTGCTAATTAATCAGCAAATACCATCTTCTTTGAAGACTACCCATTATTTAGATGTACATTTATCAGCTTAACCATTCCTGAATTTTTGCCCAGAAAGATCCTGGTGCCATCTTACACTCCTTACATATTGCAAGGGTTCTCCTGTACCTGTATCACATGGATATTAATTCTCCATGTCAGAAAAAAAGGAAATGTGAAATAGCCTTCAGCCTAGGTTATGAGGATAGGGAAAAACTGGGAATGTTGACTTTATTTTTTAAAGATATTAGCTTATCTTTTAGAGCATGTTGCCCATACAAGGCAACGTACAAGATTACGTACAAGATTATGAATACAGTACAAGATTATGTATACAGCCTGATGTAATGGCTGATGCCAGGCTACAGTTTAAAGAGACAGAAGCCTTAAGAAAGTGGCACGAAAGCCAGCACAACTTTTCTCATGTAGAAGATGAGAAAAGTTAACCGAAATCTATCCTCAGTGCTTTCAATAGAGTAGATAGATGTGGAGAAAACTGGATCATAAAGGAAAGCAATGTGCTTGTAAAATGGAGAAAGAAATGCCAAACAGAAGGGCAGGTATCATAGGCAGCAAGAGTGTATGAATGACAGAGATAACAATAAATGGGCAGTTGAACATAGGTGGCTGGCTGTGAGAAGACAAGCTAGAGGATCAGAAGGAATATTTGAGGCAAGTAGAAGTAAGATAGTCCTGCTGAGATGGGAGTATTGCAGTGGGTAAGATTGCTGGGAAGAAATCTAGGATGTTGAATTGTCTGTGGAAGAGAAAACAGTGTTTGGAAACTATTTGGCAAAGGCAGTGCTCTTGTTGACCAGTCAAGTTTCTGGCATGTAAAAGTCTCGTGGGGTTGGTGCTCTTTCTCCTCCTGTGAGCCAGAGGATGGCATGATGCCTTTGCTTTCAGGAATATGATGTTTAATTGTTAGCAAAAGTGCAGAAGGAACTAGTGATGTCTGCTTTTCTGTTCCTTAAGCTAGTTTTGTGCACAAATGAAAGTTGTACTGGGTCTACCAGACTTGTTGAAGAACAGAGAACAATAGCACAGCACCATGCAATGAGTCATATGCATGCACAGACCCTGAAATGTGTACCCATGCTTGTCATAAGTAGAATTACTTTTGTTCTTAGATTAGCAATCTATGGTCATTATTTTTTATGTTCACAATATTTCTGACCTGCCTTTCCAAAAGCTCAAGCCAGCAAAAATGATGTATGTGCAGGACAGATTTTCAATTAAAATCCGTAAGTACAGCGATAATGCAATTGTTTGTGAAATTACACAACACACAACTCTCAGTTATATAAAATACCATTCCAGAAGCTCCACTAAGTCTGTTGGGCTTTATATAAGTGTCTGTACCTCAAGAGGAAGGAACAGCAATGCACTTCCTGAGGGAGCTACTGCTGAGAAGTTGCACTACTTCTGTCTTCCCACCTAGTCCACTTTGTATCTCTTCTTTGTGGCTCCGCTAACAGTGAGCCATCCATCTGCTGTCATTTCTCAGCCCTCAAGAGATACTTTAGGTATTTGTCAAGTGCAAGAAAAAGAAACATTCTTACTTTAATAAAAGTTACTATAAAAAAAACTCAAGTCCTTCACTAGATGCAGCATAATTTGCCATAGCTGTATCTGAATACAAACAGCTGGGGATTTTAAATAGAGTGGGCAGAACGGAACAGAAATCCCATCACTTCAGTCCTCTGTCTTAGAAAGATTTTGTCCTTGGGCTGCTTCTCTGAAAACAGGTGGGAGTGCTTCCACCTCCTGTCTTCTGTTGCCTGGACAAGCTGCTCAGTAACAGACATGACTGTCAGTCTTTGAAGTTGTACCAACTTCTATTTTCCTTCTGCACCACTTCTAGTCAGGCATAAAAGAATAAAGGGGATGGGGGGTGGGAGCAGGGTTTTGCTCCCAGCTGCAAATGGGGCTGGAAATGTGGTTTGCTATCATGTGGCTGATGTGGCTGTGCCTTGTGTTTTCTTCCAGCACACAGACATGCCAGAGGAAATGCGTGTAGAAGCCATGGAGTTATGTGTGACAGCATGTGAGAAATATGCCACTAACAATGAGGTATTAGCCATCCCTGAAATGTATGTCTTGGCAACATACCAGACAGGCTGTACTTGTTTGTGTGTGGTGTGTGCAGGGGGGTACATACTGCCTTCTCTAAAGGGGAAAGATAATGGAAGAAAGCAAACATAATTCCATTCTTAAGATGAATAGTATGCCACCATATGTTCCTCCTTTTTAAAGCAAATAATAACACAATGAGTTATGCAACTGCCCTCTTTCCCTGGTCTACTTGTCGTACTTTTTTATTAAATTTTAAAACAGTACTAAAAACAGGAATCATCACAAACATCGGAACTACTGAGTCAGCCCCTTACTACATATCTTTTAACATTCTGTAATCATATTCAGATCCATTTATGGAATCTTAAAAACATTTTTAGATCTAAACCAAGTCCTGTTTCTCCAGCCAGTTAAAAAAGATGTTCCAAATTTGATAGAAGTCACTATCTTCTTTCTCCTTCTGTGGTAGGATCAGTCCATCCATTTCTTACAGAGTCCCGTTTTCCTTGACCAATATTAAAAGAAAGACTCTCCAAATTTGATAAAAGTCAATATCTTCTTTCTTCTTCGATAGTAGCTTCAATCTAACCAACTCTGCACAATTCCAGATCTTTTCATTTTTCTAATATTAAACAGATAAACTCTTCATTATAATAGTTACAAATATGATCAAACGCATTTTTTGCTTACTAGTATTCCAGTCTAATACCCACTAAAAAGGAAAGTGAAGGAGAAGAAAAGTTCCAGGCTTAAAAAAGAACTAAAGACTTTTAGCCCAATTTATGTTCACATGTCTAACATCCATTTAGCATCTTTAAGGACATCTTATCTAATCTATTTAACGACAACAATTATCTATGGTATCTTTTAAACAAATTTTCTTTAAGCTAATTTATTAAAGTTTCATCTAGCTTACACTTCACTTAATCACATACAATTAACTCCTTATAAGAGTCCAGCTCCTTACAATCTTTAATATATCTCGCTTGTAAAAAGAAATCTATTTCGTACAGCTCCTCCTACTCTCATAATAGTAATTTTTAGTATAGCAATTCAAAGACAAAAGAGTCATGCAACTTAGCTTTTGGTCATTCATTTTTAAGATAAAAAAAGAAAAAGAAAAGAATCTCTCATTTTCCCTTATATCACCCACAAAGGAGAGAAAAAAAAGGGGGGGGGGACTCCACTCCTATTCTTCTCCTTCTTAGTTCAGTTTAAATCTTATCTTATA